CCTTCGATTCGGGCCAAAGGAAGGACGTATTTGTCGGCCGCATCGGAGGAGTCTTCGGTTTTGGATGGCCTTCGTCGCGGCGCTGTGACGTATGTGGCTGACAAATTTGGCCTTCAGAGGACCCGGCCTGCCGTTTTGGACACAGTCATTATATACATGCTACATGTCTTCTTTTCTGTTTTGGGTGTATTTTCGTGGCAATGTTACAGTGACACCTACAGGCCTGGCATAGTAATTAAAGTGTTGGGTCATTTCTGCATTTTCTTGTGGAAGTAAACATTCCTAGAAACAGTGCTGTGTTGACAAAATATATTTTTTTAGAAACCACAAAAAATAATTGTTTTGGAAAAACTTTTTTTTCTGTATAGACAAGGCCTATGAGCTAATAACTACAACAAACTTATCCTAGATGTCTAGAGACTTCAGAGGTCGAAATTCCACAAGTCAGATGTTTTGAACTTTAGGCTCTTGGTGGTAAACAGCTCCTTCATTTCACTTGTATTAACCAAGGAACTTCTTGTGTCAGAGACCTGAATGGCACCAATGAGGTAAAAAAAACATCTGACTGCAGATTCTAAGGCAAATAACCATTGAACCAATGAACCATTCTGCTACCTACCAAATAAGTCATCCTTTGCCAAAGCATAGAGGATGCGGGAAGCTCCGATGAGATTGCTCATTGCAGCGGAAATTGTTGATGAATAAACTCCAATGATGACAAAGGGATGCCAGACATTGATTTCTTTCAGGAAACTGTAATCCCTCTGAAGAAGAAGCCTGTAACAGATTACAGAAAAAAGATTAATAGATTAACTCTTGTGCTCAAATTATTACTTAGTCAGTGTTTTCATTTGAAAGGGCAGAGATGAGTCAGAGCCAAAGCCAAAGATTTTTTTACGATTAAAAATGTTCATTTGAGTGACAGTAGTTTGCGAAGTTGCACAGTCTTTTATAATTATTTTTATCGCTTGTAAGTACGGTGTATGTGTTTGCTGTCTGTTAGCAAAATACCTCTGGATTCACTGATCAAATTTTAAACAAACCTTTAGAAAATAACTAGTGAAAATGATTCCAAATTTTTAAAAGCCAACCTAATTCAGAATGGACGTCAGAGCGAACAGACCTTAGAAAACACAAAAATTGGTATAACTCAATTTCAAACTCTGACATTAAGGCAGTGGGCATTATGCATTCTTCATGGAATGCTAGACCATTTATGTATAATTTTTATGTTAATTTGATTTTTGTTCATTGTGCTTCCATGCAACAACTTTTCAAGGTCTTTATGCAGAAAGTCATCCAAACAAATGTGGATAACTTAGCAACATTTGCTTTGTCAGACCTCAACAAAAATAATTAAACTTGGTAAAACATATTTGAAAAATGCAAATCGATCTAATTAAAGCAAACTTAAAAACTGGATGACAGAATAAGGGAGATTAAGTGAAAATCACAATAAGCTTTGAACAAGTAGATGAAGTTGAAAGTTCAATTTGGTGCAGGTACAATACATCACACACGGATAACTGTGGAAAGAAAAAGCAGCACATTTCCACAGTCATTTATGATACAAAACCAACATGTTACTTAAAGGAGTAGGGGAGATGGCAGTCATTAACTTTGTAAGAAATGACCTCAATGGCATTGAAGAAAATTTCTGGGGTTTATGTTACGTACTGATTTAGTTACATTACACATAGTATGGTTTGTTTTATGATAGAACTGTAATAATTGTTAAATGTGACTTTTGATTAACTTGTTCTATTAATACAGTAGGTACATGCCTGATAACAAATACAATGCATATTGAACTAATTTTAATCATTAGAACAGGGCTTATTGGGCAGGACTCTGACAAAGACACCCCCCAACTGATGACGTAATCAATAGGCATGCCCTGAAGCTAATGATAAAACTCTTGTGATTTCCTAATTCAGTCTGATTTCCCTGGTATCATTAAACCGGACATCAGCAGAGCTCTGGTTTTGTATGGCCGTTCTTTAAGACTCTCTCAATGCATTTCCACATTCTCTGCACGGTTTCACACACATCATGGTAACGAACACGATATAACACCCATTTCTTGCAGCATGGCAAACAAACCTGTTTTACCTCAATTCATTTCAAAATTTATGGTGAAAAAAACTATGTATGATAAAGATTTGTTTGTTATAATAATAATAATAATAATAATAATTATTATTATTATTATTATTATTATTATTATTATTATTATTATTATTATTATTATTATTATTTTATTTGAAAAGCGCCTTTCAGGACACCCAAGGACACACAGCATTAGGCATGTAAGGGATGAGTTACTTATGCAAATAGCTCACCTTACGTCTTCTCGTAATAAGTTATGAGAGTAAATTTTACCAAGGTTTTCCTCATTACTCTAATATTTGTCTGTGCAAAGTGAAGTGACACAATGAGGGAACTCAGACTGGTTCAAGTTGATCCATAAAAGATTATGCAATCATTTATTTACACAGTTGAACAAATCATAAATTACACCTGATTGTGAGCTATTTATAACAAGCGTCTAAGTTAAAATGAGGTAAAACTCGCRTCCGAATTTTCTTCACATTAAAACCCAGATTACCTATATATAAACAGTAAAAACGTCAGTTCTGATGTTAAACTAACAACTTACTGGCACTTCACTTAGGGGTTGGCAAAGGATAAAGGTAAGAAAAGGTAAGAAAATTAAGAATTAGTGTTTCTGCTTTTAGTTTTGAAAATTTGTAGACAACCGGATTCAGCACGTCCCCTCTGAGCTCTCAGCTTSAACTTGACACGTCACCCGAGACCACGTCAGCATTACCTGGAGATGTCTGCTTTAGAACCCCTGATATGGCTGTCTCACTGACGACCCTTCAGGAAGCTTGTCCAGAACTGGTCCTTGGCGAGAAGGTGTCGTTTAGGTGACTTTCCGTCTGTTTAAGCCCGGCTAGAAAGATTCCAGCTGTGGTTTCGGTCGTCTTCCAAAATAAAAGTCTCCCTCCGGGAGATGAAAACACTTTAAAGAGACCTGGGTCTCTTAGGTGGGCAGGAGCTGCTGGCTCCTTGCCCTGGACTTCAGGTTTCCCTATTTGACTGATGGGTGAAACCTGAGGCCCAGCTGTTTCTCCGGAGAGAATCAGCTTCATCCTCCTGTATCGACATCAGGATGAACACTGCCTGTGTCTCCAAGGCGTCCGTGTGTTAGTAAGTCAGAGTGGACTTAGACAAGCCAGTCAGAAAGGAAAAGAAGATAAGAGAGTTGCCAGCTGAAGGCCGTGAAGGTCATTGCTCTGCTTCTTTTGCCAGACTGTAAGAAATCACTGTAAACATTTGTCATGATTAATTAACACTTCGTTTAAATAATCAGTCTGAACTTGTGTCCAGATAAATGAGACTTTCTTAAGACAAACTCAAAATTATATTACTGATGTTTCAGTAAAATAAAAACAGTGATTTATAAAAACACAATGAAAAACATGGTGATGATTTTCTGTGATTCATTAATCTATTTTAGGCACGATAAAAGAATAGAAGTAATACTTTCTTTCTTGTGACATGTCATTATTATGATTAACAGATGCATAAACATTCTTAGTTAAACAACCAATGAATCATGAACAGAACAGATTGTTTCTGTTAATATCTGATTAGAGAACTGAAGTCCTCGTGTAGGTTGAAATGACCCATCATGGCCTAAAATAGAGTTCAGCGTTCCTGCCTTCTCTCAGGCCTGTGCGAGACCTGCTTTGAGGCAGTAACTCCTGTTTCTTCACTCGAGGTGACCCCTACAGGCACATCATAGGAGAATGTGTGAAAATAAAGTTAGAGACAAGCTGGCATGAGTTACAAAGCATTGCTAAAAATGAAGTTAAGATTGATATGCTAATCTAAAGAGATGTGTTTTCAAAGCAGTCTTGAACACAGGAAGAGAGGTGATGTTTCTTAGGTCAGGTGGTAGAGAGTTCCAGAGGAGAGGTGTGGAGCAGGTGAAGGCCCTGCTCCCCATGGTGGAGAGGCGGGCAGAGGGTACTTGGAGGTTTAGGGAAGAAGAGGATCTGAGAGAGCGGGCGGCGATAGAGATGTGTACGAGGTCTCACATTTATGGAGGGGCAAGATGGTGGATAGCTTTAAATGTGAGAAGAAGAATTTTGAAGATGATGCGTGATTTGACCGGGAGCCAGTGGAGCTGCTGCAGGACTGGGGTGATGTGGTTATGGGAGCAGGTTTGGGTGATGACACATGCAGCCGAGCTCTGGACCATCTGAAGCTTATGGAGGGATTTGTTGGGGAGGCCAAAGAGAAGAGAGTTAAGGTAATCGATCCGTGAGGTCACGAGACTGTGGACAAGGATGGCTGTGGTGCGGGGTGTGAGAGATGGACGGAGACGGTTGATACTTCTGAGGTGGAAGTAGGCAGACCGAGTAACATTACTGATGTGTGCAGTAAAGGAGAGAGTGGTGTCGAGGATGACACCAAGACTCTTGACCTGAGGGGAGGGGGTTAGCAGAGAGTTGTTGATAGGGATGAGGAGATTATTAGATTTTGAGATGGAATTTTTATTGCCGACAAGGACGATTCCTGTTTTGTCACTATTCAGCTGAAGGAAATTGTCTGAAAACCAGCGACTGAGTTCATTGAGACAGTCAGAGAGGATGGAGGGAGGGTGTGTGGAGTTTGGCTTGGTTGACAGGTAGAGCTGTGTGTGATCAGCATAACAATGGAAACGGACACCAAACTTGCGGAAAATGTAACCAAGAGGAAGGAGGTAAGAAATGAAGAGAAGGGGTCCAAGGACAGAGCCTTGTGGCATGCCAATGGAGATAGGGGATGACTCAGAGTGAAATGATTTAATCTGGATGAATTGAGTACAGTGAGAAAGATAAGATTTGAACCAGTTAAATGCAGTACTTGAGATGCCCATGGATGTGAGTCTGTTGAGGAGAATAGAATGAGAGCTCGTATCAAAAGCAGCACTTAAATCAAGAAGGATGAGGATGGACAGGAGACCAGAGTCGGCAGCAAGGAGAAGATCGTTGGTGATTTTTATGAGGGTGGTTTCGGCACTGTGGTGGGGGCGAAAACCAGATTGAAACTCCTCATAAAGGTTATTGTTGGAAAGGTGAGAGTGGAGTTGACTGGCAACAACTTTTTCCAGAATCTTGGAGATGAAGGGCAGGTTAGAGATTGAACGAAGGTTACTGAAGTTACTTGGGGCGAAACCGGGTTTCTTGATGATGGGGGTAATGGCTGCAGATTTAAAACCTGTGAGAACAATACCAGAGGTCAATGAGGAGTGGATAATAGTGGTGATCATAGGGAACAGAGACGGGAGGCAGGATTTAACAAGAGCAGTGGGGAATGGATCGAGCTGGCAGGATGAGGGCTTAGACTTGCTAATGATATCCGGGATGTCAGCGGCAGGGGGGAGGGAGAAGACAGAGAGGTGGACGAGGGAGAGGGGAGGTTAACAAGCGAGCTGCTAGAGGTGATTGGGCCAAGCTGTTAGTGAATGGACAGAATTTTTTCATTGAAGTAGGACATCAGAGTTACAAAAATCAGTGGACACCATGTGAGAGGGTAAAGAGTTATGATATGAGACCTGTACGGTTGAGGTTAAAGAAAAGAGTCTGAGAGTTGCCAATATTGGAACTTATGATGTTAGAGAAGTAGCTGGATTTGGCTTGAGAAATACTGTCCTTATTTGATGTGGTTCTTGTAGAGTTCCTTGTGAATTGTGAGACCGGCTTTTTTATAGAGGCGATCCAGCT